CTACGGGGGTTCTCAACTCACCAGGCCGCCAAAATCAGCGGGGGTACCCGTCCTGGGCAGCGAGATTCCCCGCAGTTTCTCCGATCCGAGTCACGGCACCAATCTGTTATAAATGCAATGGCAAAAATAGGGTTAATATAAAAAGGGATTTATTATAAAACAATTTCAATCACAAACAACGAGAGAAAAAAACCACAATAAAATAAATCAGCACAGCGCTGGGTGGACAGGGAGACGTCTATACCCAGAGGTACAGATTTACCCAAATCCACGAAGGAGGGTAGACTGTCTGGGGTTTTTATAGGGATTTTGTGTCCTGAGGCCAAAACTCCGAGCAGTTACTGTTCAACAGAGTTTAGATGGCTGGTTGAATGAATTTCCTGGAATCGTGGAACTGAATCAATAGACGACTGGGCAGAGTCCATTCGCATGTGAAAGGTTCTGAGTGCTTCCTGATTGTATCCTCGGTTGGACTCTCAGGGTGAAGTGTCCAGGTCCGGTGCGGAGCCGATGGGTATCTCGGCTGGGCTCCTCTTATTGTTTGGCCTGATTGCATCTTCAGTCGGGGCTTGCAGGGTGGGGTGTCCCGGTGCGGTGTGGAGTCGATGGGCATCTCGGCCTGGCTCCTTTCATTGTTTAGCCTAATTGTCCGTGTCCTGCTCTTTCTTTCAGGCTGATGAACGTCACCTAGGGTCGTTACTGCCTGAATGGGTAGTTACTGCTGGGTTTGGGGAAATTCTTAGGCCACACTATATTTTATATAATTTTTACATTGTTACAAATACAGTTATATACTTATTTATTCTTTCATGAATTTTTATCCAAGGTTACATTTATCACAACATGGACCTGAAAAAGATGTTTGTCTTGTTTTCCTGTGTGTGCATGTTGTTCCTACCTCAAGCATACTTTGCTCTCAAGTAAGGAGCTCTCTTTGAGAAGAGTCCATGTAGTAAGAGAGACAGGAAAGCTGGGAGGATCCGATTTGTACGCAGGATGCCTGCTTCTTACCTTCATTGCGATTCATGAGAAAAACACTCCAAGTACATGGAAACAGGATTCATCTCTTGTACTGAGCAGGAAGAGGAGGGAATGCCTAAGCTAAGTTAGTGCTGAGTGTTGATCCTCTGGAAAAAGCAGTTTGGCATTAATGGTGGTGCTTGCTTCTCACTTGTTTTCTGTGTGTAAGAAAATCTCATTAAATAATCAACCTCTAACCAACAGTGAGCTGGTACCCAGCAAAAGCCATGATTGTGAATGTCTGGCTTCCAGTCTCGTGCTTAGGTCATCCATAACTGCACACATGATATAAATAGGAAAAGGTATTTTGTAGGAAGTATCAGAGGGCTTGTATCTTTATAATGTCCCAGCTGTCCTGCATGTCATGCACAGACAATACTATTTGGTGGGTAGTTTAAACACCAAATTGATCTTTTTCTCTTCTTGGTTGTTGTAATGTGACACTGGCCAAACACCAGGTATCCATTAAAGTTGTTTGCTTACTTTCTTTTGTTACAGTTGAGCAGAGGAGAGGGGGGAAAAAAATTAACAAAAAGAGCTCATGAATTAAGGACTGTAAGAAAACACTTTATGGGAAATACAGGTTCAATTTTAAAGTTATAAAGTAAATTTATTATTAACAGAGTCAGAGGAGGATAATGAGAAATAAAATAAGCCTTTAAAACACCTGTTTTCCCCCAGCCCCTCCCTCTTTCCCACTGACAGCGCAGGAAGACAGGGCATAGGGGTTTTAGTCAGTTCGTCATTCAAGATCTTTTTCTGTTCGCTCAGGGAGAGGAGTCTTTTTTCTCTTATGCTGTGGGATCCCTCCCATGGGCAAAGAGTCTTCCCAAAACTATTGTGGGATGGGTCATTTGTCCACAGGGTTCAGTCTTTTAAGGATAAACTGCTCTAGTTTGGAAGCAAGGGCTTTTTCTCTCTATCTCTGGAAGCAGGGTCCCTCTTTCTCTAGTCAGGTCTCCCACTAGACTACAGCTTTCTCTAACACCTACCTGCTCCACTTTTCCCACAGGCTGCGAGTGGATTTCTGCATCCCCTGTGGACTTCATGCTTTACAACAGGACAGTTTATTTCACTGTAGTCCTCACTATGGCTCCCAGAGGAATCTCCACTCCAACACTTGAAGCACCTCCTCCCTGTCTTTCTTTTCCATTGACCTTGGTGTCACCATGTTGTTTTCCCTCACATGTCCTCATTTCCCCCCCCTTTTCTGACTAGAAGAAAAACTGCTGCTTGTGGGTACCGTTGTCAACAAGTTCCACTGATTCGAAGATTCTTGCAAGATCCCACAGTGCCGCGAAGTTGATCTCGTCTAGGTTCTGTGCTGGGGAAATTGCTTGTCACGCTTCCACTGCTGGCCAGGCAGCCCTGCCGCCACCACATGGGCAGTGGCAGCTGCTGCAGTGCTGGCGCTATTTAATGCCTCTCTTCATGCGGGACACCGGGAAAGGGAAGCCACCGCCCCTGCCCTTCTGCCTGCAGTGCAGCTGGCTAGGGGTGGCCAGGCAGGCAAGGCTCGCTGCGGGCCGTGCTGAGATGGAGGTGGCCGCCGTGTGTTGCCGCGCACCGTGCCGGGGATGGGCCCCAGCAACCACGCTTCACTAGCCCTGGGAAAAAAAACTGCACTTCCTGTTTTGATTTTCTTCTTAAATCTGTCATCACAGAGGTGTTACCATCCTCTCTAATTGGGCAGCAGCATGTCTATCTCCAGAGTTGTCAGAGATTGGCTCTCTGTTGGACAGGGTGGAAACTTCTAGCAGCTTCTCACAGAAGCTACCCCTGTGGGCCCCCCTGCTACCAAAAAACAGGCTGTGCCAAACGAACACGTTGGGGGGCATAATTTTTCAGATGCTGTATATTTTTATTTTTTCAGGTATGATGGTTTCTGGACCCCTTGCTGTGCTTCTCCTACTTTGGTTCCTCCCTCGTGCAAGAGAGGCTTTGGGTGTGATGTGCTTAAGGCAGGTTGGCCCCCAGCCTAATCACTGGGAGGCCTGCAGGGCAGAACCATGGTTCATGACCTAATTCATGGCTGTCAGGTTGTGCAGGTGTCCTTTGAGGACATTCTTTTCTTGGTGCATGGTGCTGTCTCTGCTCATAGGAGGTGAACCCTTCAGTAAATGACAAGCCTCATGTTAAAATTTAGCATGGTACAGTTCATTCATTTTACAAGTTGAGGTTAAATCTGTGTGACTTCTACAGGTTGAAAAAACCTGTTTCTCAATCAGCTGAAACTCCTCCAGTAGCTTTTTTTTATCAAAGAAAGAACCAGTGATGGCTGCAAATTCTGCTTAGAGCACTGTTTTTCTTGAAAGTGGTGGGAGCATGAAAGAGCGTGGCAGGGACTAAACACCCAAGGTTTTATTCAAAACAAACTCAACATTGTTTTAGCAAGCTCTCTACGTGCTCCAGGGTGTCCTGATCATACACAGTCGGCTTGTTGAAGTAGAGCAAGAACAGCTGATACACAGCTGTATGCCTCCTAATGGGTTCTCTCAGGGACATGACTCCCCTGGGGTGTTGGTTTATATGCATGGGGGTAGATGCTCAAGTCACTGGAGAGGACTCATGAGGGAGGATGATGTGCTGCCTGTCACAGACAGGTTAGGAGGAGAACAGAGGGCAAGGAGGTGGATTTTCTATTGTCCTTCTAGGAGATGGAGAACATGGGTAGCTTGTAAATTATTGCACTCTGATCTGAAAAAAGCCTTGGTGACTTTAGTCACATGATATGGAAAACTTAAACCTCATTTTGTTTCTCATTCACAAACTCATTTTGTTTCTTCCAGGGAATGAGTAGAAGAGGGCTGTAGTTGGAAAGTTTAGAGCTGGAGGAAAAACTTTGTGAGCTATAAAAAGAGATTGAGGTATTTTCTATTTAGGAAGGAAGCAGAGGTACAAACCAGGCTCTACAGTGTGACTTGTTCCTGTCTGGTTAATACTGTTTCTCCCATGTATATACTTAGGAGAAATATCATCAAATGTCAGCTTGGGCTTGGTCTTAAATACACACAAGCTGCTCACGTGTCTGATGTAGTCTGTCATCTGTTAGGGATGTATGCAGAAGAGAATTGCAGCTTCTGAAATATGTTTGGTTGCACAGAAGCTTGTAGGTCTCTTTATTTAGCTATTCAGCCTGCTCTCAACTTCTGCTTTCACTTCCTTCACCTTGTCTTTGCTTGGAGATACAGTACTGGACTGGAAGAGGTACTTCTGGTGTTGCTGGACATGCTCATCCTTAGGGATAATGCTGGGAGATGTTTCTCCAGAGAAAGAAATGCAGTGCAGCTCTTTCCCTTCTTTCTCAATTTTGAGTCTTTCTCACATGTGTCTCTTTCCCACAGGAAAAGCGTTTGACATCACGTATGTGCGCCTGAAGTTCCACACCAGCCGGCCTGAGAGTTTTGCCATCTACAAGCGCACACAGGAGGATGGCCCTTGGGTGCCCTACCAGTACTACAGTGGATCCTGTGAGAGCACCTATCACAAAATCAACCGTGGCTTTATCCGCACTGGGGAGGACGAGCAGCAGGCACTCTGCACTGATGAGTTCAGTGACATCTCCCCTCTTACTGGAGGCAATGTGGCCTTCTCAACACTGGAGGGGCGTCCCAGTGCCTACAACTTTGACAACAGCCCAGTGCTGCAGGTATGTGAATAGAACTGTGTTGGTCAGGTGGTCTGAGTTGAGTCTTCCTGTTGAGTCACTGTGGATGGTGGCTTTGTGCTGACTGGGCTGCACTATAGCCCTTACTCATAGTGAAAGGCCCTTGCATAGCTAAGTTGGGATGGACTATCCACAGAGATGGTTTTGAAGGAAGAGTTGAACTCTTGAGTCTATTGATAGTAAGTTTATGGTACAAAAAAGCAAACCCGGTGATTAAGGGTGATTTGTCAGTAGGCATCACAGAAGCCTTCAGAGTATGAATGTAAATCTCTTCCAGCTTAGAAAGCAGCTGTGGACATTCTGCTGTTGTTTCAGATACAAGGACAGAGGAAGGTAAAATCTTGGTCCAGTTAATATTTGAGGCATCTGCATGTATATTTCAAGCAGAAAAAAGTAAGAAATGTAAGATTCTTCTAAATACATAAAGCATTACAGGAATCCCTACCCTGTTCTCTTACATGTGTATTGAAGCAGAGAAGTTTGATTTTATCTTTGGTATTTTTCTCTTGCAAGTGGCTTGGCAGGGGGGTTTGCTAGTTTTTGTGTTCTGCTTGATGACTTCTCCAGTTTATATTGCAGCAAGGAGCTAAAGCTGTTGGGTTTGCCTCACTGGGGAAATGAAAAAATAAGATTAATGGGAAAGGATGAAGAACTTCTAAAGTGGGAAAGAACCAGTTTGGCCACCTCATTGGTGTAGCCAACCCTTGCAGAAAACCATGTCTTATTGCTAAGGTGAACAAGGAGATTTCACGTTAGCAATGTGTATAATTTTCTGATGAACTCACTATGTAAGGAATAGAGATCTGACGGCCAGTTTCCTAAAATATGTGTCAACCCCTGGTGTTGCATTTCAGAACTGAATTAAATGTGTATGTTGTGATTGGTATTTCCATGTGTTCCTGTCAGTGTCTGCAGTTCAGTAAATAAACACTATGTTGCTGGCTGAGCAGTGACACAGGTGCTGCACAGTTGTACATACAGGATGTTTCTTTGTGTTCTTTTTTATGGTGTTTGAAGGAAAACAGCTTTGTAAAGGGTATAATAAAACCAAAGCAGTGCTAGTGTCAGTGGCTGGCAGAAGGTGATATGAAATTTGGCAACAGGCCGTGTGCTGGCTGCTGCTGCACAAGGGCAGGACAGCGTGTTACAGATGCTAGGCAAATATTATGAAAAATTCTTGTGTTGTAAGTCACATCTGTCTGTCTTCCTCAGCTTCCCAGCCTCAGTCATTTGTCTGTCTGTATCTTTTAGTCTGTTGCAATATGTCTGCAGACAAATGTACCCTAAAGCTTCTCCCATTGGTGCTGCATAGCTTTGTAGGAAAACTACAGCCAGACACGGTTACCAAGCTGACATAACTGCCTGCCCTGCACTATTTGCTGGAGAGGTTACTCAGTGCTTCCTGGTTGAAAGCCATCAGGATGTGAAGAGGCTTTGGAAAGGGTCTCCAGAGATGAGAAGGGGTCAGGAAAACCCATTTGAACCAAGAGGATGTGGCATCAGGCTTCTGGGGTGGGAGCATGTGAGCTTTGGAGGTGCAGAGGGGAAAACAATGAGGAAAGAACCAGCTGCTGACGAATGACTTTGTTAATAGAACTGCTAATGACTGGTACTCTCTCAGAGAGGGTGTTTCATCTGATGGGATTTCTGTCTGCTCTAGGAATGGGTGACGGCTACAGATATTAGAGTGACCCTCAATCGTCTGAACACATTTGGAGATGAAGTTTTCAATGACCCAAAAGTTCTGAAGTCTTACTACTATGCAATTTCTGATTTTGCTGTGGGTGGTAGGTGAGTAGACAATAAAACTCTGTGCTTACTAAAGTTTTTGGTTAGTTTTACTGGACTGCTTTAAAGATACTGACTGTATTCACATGATACCAATAGGCTCTGGTCTTTACTGACTGTCCTAAATCAAGAATGCTTTAGAATGAATTTTACATAATTTGCAAATATTTTATATAAACTTTTGTGGCTGTAACTTCAGAGTTGGCAGAGATCAATTTTTTTTTCCTTGATTAGATGAAATATTAAGTGATTTGAGAGGGTAAATGGTAAAAAAAGGAACTAAAATGAAAAACAAAATAAGAAATTTTTTTCTGCTCTGTGGTTTCTGTGGTTTTTAATGTGTTATTAAATTCTTCTCTGCCTGTATCTGTACAGTAACTAACTTACTTACTAACAGTAAGTAGAAAATCTCAGTGTCTCTACTTCCCATATATTGAAGAAACTATCTCCTTTGGAGGTCTGAAACACAGATATGTTTGTGATTGTCCATTCCTTTTGCCAAAGTCTATTGTAGAATGTTTAAACCTTAAGTAGTTGATGATAAAATGTTTTAATAAACAGAGATGAGACCACTGCACGGTTTTGGACTGTTTGCATGTGACGGTCCTGAGACTGGGATTTGGCCAAATGGAGATTTGTATTGGCTGCACCACCAGTCTGGAGGTTCCTGGGCTTCTGTATTAGTCACCTTTGTGCTATTTAATTTCCTACTGATACCACAATAGCCCATACTCGGTGAACATAGCGTATTCTGGGCTCTCACAAGAGAGAAGTTGCAGAAAATTTACTGACATAAAGCCAGCTAAATCTTTGCTTCTCCTACTCAGATTATTCTGAAGACTGCAAAGCAGCTTTCTTCCCTTTCTAAATGCCTACCTAGAGCAGGCTGCACCTCTTTGTTTCATAGAATAGTTTGGTTTGGAAGGGACCTTCAGAGATCTTTCAGCCCCCATTGTGGGCAGGGATACATTCCACTATCCCAGGTTGCTCCAAGCCCTGTGCAACCTGGCCTTGGACACTTCTGGGGATGGGGCAGACACAGCTTCTCTTGGCAACCTGCGCCAGTGTCCCACCACCCTCATTGTTGAACATTGATTCCTTATGTCCAATCTAACCCCACCGTCTTTTAAATTAAAATTTGAAAGGTGTTTGAAATTACTGTCCCTTGTCCCATCACTACAGGCCCTGATAAAAAGTTTCTCTCTATCTTGTAAAACCCTTTTTAGGAGGGCCTCCATAAGATATTCATGATGCCCCCTCTTCTCCAGACTGAATGACAGTAGTGTTGGTCTTGATTTTGTTGTAATCATCTACCTTCAAATTTCTCTCATCTCAGATTTTGCTATCTGGGCCCCGTTTTTTGGTATTGCTTTGTGAGTGACCTGGAGCTCTGGAGTTTTAATACCTGTTCCTTACCTCTCCTGAACCAGATGCAAATGCAATGGGCACGCAAGCGAGTGTGTGAAGAATGAGCTTGGGAAGCTGGTCTGCAACTGCAAGCACAACACGTTCGGAGTGGACTGTGAAAAGTGCCTTCCTTTCTTCAATGACCGCCCATGGAGGAGGGCAACCGCAGAGAGCGCCAACGAGTGCCTGTGTATGTGGCTGCACCTGTGGACAGCTTGTCTGGGACAGGGTCCCCTGCCTCTGCTGGCAGCCACAAGCTGGCCCTGCCTTGTTTTAATTTGTCTCAGTTACAATTAGTCAGCATTAAGCACAGTTCATGGGACTGTTGGTCATTCCACTCCTGTCCTGTGGGAGTCCTGCCCTAGGAATGGGCATCTTCTTTCTGGAGAAGGATAGGAACCACCTTTAAGAAAGAGTTGTCCTGCAAAAATGTACAGGCTTGTACTTTATGAGACCCATGGGAAAAAAAAACCTGTTTACTATGCTGGAGTATAATTGCCCTTCCAAAACCACTTCATTTAGCATCAGCTGATTTTTGTGTTTGGGTTATTGGTTTTTACAGTTACTTGTTGATTATTTAATTTCTGGACCGCAAATGCAGGTCTCTGTCATGGAACACAAATTTGCTTGGTGTTTTGTCCCAGACCGCGGCACCTCGTAGTTTACTTTATGGGGAAACGTTTTCAGACAAAAAAGTTTTCTTCCTGTCTGACTTCTGTGTGTCTAGATAGGTCACAGCTGTCTGTTGCTTCCCTCAATGGGCTGGTGAAATTGGGATGTCCCACTGTCTCAGGATTTGCAGTCCAGGAGAGAAGCTTTCATTACAGCATGGAGTAGCCTCATGTTACTTTTCCATGCTTGTTTGGATGACAGAGATCGGTGATGCTGTGGGAGGACATTTTGACTGCAAGTGGCAGCCTGATGTTGAAAGAAGTGGGGTAGAAAATGCTGGTTTTCTTTTGGGCATTGATGAGAATGGTCTCAAGTTTGTTTCAGGTCTTGGAGTGATTAAAAATTTCAGCTTTACAGCTGAACTGTGCAGGGTGAGTTTTGTGCTGTTGGGATGGGCTGGTCACTGATAGTGCCCTGTCTTTGCAGCATGCGACTGCAACGGGCGGTCCCAGGAGTGCTACTTTGACCCCGAGTTGTACCGCGCCACAGGCCATGGCGGCCACTGCACCACCTGTGCCGGCAACACAGATGGACCCCACTGCGAGCGCTGCCGGGATAGCTTCTACCGCCTGGCCAGTGATGAGGCCTGTCTGCCATGCAGCTGCAATCCAGTCGGTGAGCAGTGCTGCAAATGCAGCTGCTTGCAAACTTCCATGCACAAATGCACCTCTTCTTTAGGCCATGCAGCTCATTGCAAACTCCGGGATAAAAAGAGTTTCCTACATGTAGGAAATACTTACTGGGTTGTATTTCGGTTTAAGTTACCCTTGGATCTAAATGGGGTTAGGGTGGCAGGGGCAGATGGGTCACCTCTGCAGCATTTACTTCTCCAAATGTATTCTGAAATAGATTTTTTTTTTTTCCTGGATGCTCCCAGTACTAAAGAACTCATTTAAATTCTTAATAACCAAGATGACGTGAGTGGGTATTTCTGGAAGTGGTTCATGCTGAGAAGTTGTAGTAAACTTTAGCTGCTGCATCAGTTTCTCCTACTGAGTATCCAAGCACTATAAATACAAACCAGTGTAACATTAAACACAAAAGGGGGTGGGGTGAGATAAAAAAAAGTAAACTCAAAATATGTAGTTAAACTCCTTTTGAAAAAACAGGGACAAGGATAATTCTGGCAGGAAAATAAATCTTTTGTCATGAAGGGAACCACTTATGTTGGCAATTGATGAGACAGGTCTCCATGATTTGCATCAATTAAGCCATTTATTGATTCCAAATGTATTTATACTTTTTCAGCTATAGCTAAAACTAGTAACAATCATATTTCTTAGTAACATTGCTAAATCATAGCCTTGCACAGACCTGCACAGGCATGTACGGTCCTGCATGATTTATCTTAAACAAAGCATACCAAGCACACCTTTTGCTTCCTCATTCAGGGTTCTGCCTTGACTTGACAGGGCTTGCAGCCCGCTAGACTTAGTACATCCACTTCAGTCACGAGTTGAGCAGTGCTCTGAGTCTTGTTCTCCATTCCCATACACTTAACCTTTAAGGAGGGATCCCATAACTACACCAGCCCATAGCAAGTAAAGTGGAAGGAGGGAAAAGGGTAACACACGTAGTAAGATTTGATGTGAGGTTTCAAAAGAATAGCTGGTATAAGTCTTTGCTTGCATCATGCCCTAAAAACAACCAGAGAGAGGTCTGCCAGGGTGCATCTCCTATCTAATTTTGTCAAGAAGTCATTCAGTTGTGAAATTTTTGACGAATAAAGGCCCTTTCTTCTTCTGACTGCTTTCCTGGGTCTTTGTGTTAGACCTTATTTTAAGAGGGATGAGGGTTGATGTCAGCTGAGACAGTCGAAAAGATGCAGGAAGGTGACTTCTCAGGTTTTTAAGGACAGCTTTCAGAGGCTTTTATAACTTATCCATCAGCTGGTATGCTGTGACACACTGACACCCAGGGTGTGAATGCCCTGAAATACCAATCCAAACAAAACCACTCCTGGATATGTTTGGATTGGTATTTTTTTGTCAAGTACTCCTTTTTCCTAAATAATCCAAAAGGATTATTTGTTTGTTTGTTTGTTTATTATTTCATTAAAGGGACTGCAAAGCGCATTTGAACTTCAGCTGTATATGATAATGGTTTTGTGCCATCCAGCCTAATCATCTTATAACTCTTCCCTTTGCTAAAATCTTCTGATTCTGATGTGGATTGAAGTGGAAAAAAACAACTATTTCTGTATATTAAAATATTTTTGTCCTGGTAGTTGACTCTTACAGTGCTGGCAGCTCCGAGTTGGCAGCTACATGAATGCTTGGGAGAAAGCATTTTGTCCGCTATGGATTAAAGAAACCTGCCACTGCTTCTTGTGCAGCACCACTTGAATGGAGCAGTACTGAGGAAGGCGTCCTTCCAAAAATGAGGGTTTTGCTCAAGAGTTTACTAGGATTCATAGTGGTACATGCAGCCTTGCTTCAAAAAGAGGCAGTTTAGTCTTTAAATGCAACTTAGGAGTCAGGGAAGGAAATTGGGAGTGTGAAAGGGAGAGGTCAGGGAAAGGGGAGATGCTGATTAGGGGGAACACAAGGGATTGATGGAATAAAATCTTGGAAATTACATATTGCAGAGTAAAACAGATGTGGAATTGGAGGCATGCAAATGAGGATGAAGCAGGAGAAGGCAATTTGAAGTTAAAATTATATTTTGTATATAAATATATATATTATGTTTATATCTATTAATATATATTTGTAAATATTATATTTATAGTTATATTTTAATCTGTCTATCTAAAATCCCTGTGAACTCGAGGCAGTCTTTAGGTAAACTGTCACCCAATCAGCTTGAGGCTGTGCTTCCCACTTTCTTCTTCCTTATTTCTTGTCTGTTTTGTAAAGTTTGTATAGCTGATGGAGCCATATATGTGTGCTGAGGTGCCTGTCCCTGTTCTCCCCACAGGCTCCCTCAGCACACAGTGCGACAGCTACGGCCAGTGCAGCTGCAAACCTGGTGTGATGGGGGACAAGTGTGACAGGTGCCAGCCAGGGTTCCATTCCCTCTCTGAAGCTGGGTGCAGGTAAGGAGGATTGCAGCTCTCTAAAAGAAAAACTAGGCTTTTTTAGAAGTTTTCTCTATGTGGCTCTTACTGAACTAATCTCTCTCCTGACTCTACCAGGCCATGTTCTTGCAATGCTGCTGGTAGCACAGGAGAATGCAACATTGAGACAGGGCGATGTGTGTGCAAGGACAGTGTGGAAGGATTCCACTGTGAGAGGTGAGTTTTTCTTCCCATGGCTTTGTTCCAAGAATGAAAAATATTTGAGCGAGGACCTGGGGTTAAGCATCAGGGAAATTAATTCTCTTTCCTTCGCATCTTCAGATGCAAACCTGGATTTTTCCATCTGGATTCCTCCAACCCAAGAGGCTGTACCCCCTGCTTCTGTTTTGGACACTCTTCAGTCTGCACCAGTGCTGTGGGCTACAGTATCTATAACATCACATCCAGCTTCGAGTTTGGTAAAATTGAGCTTTCTTCTGTATCACAGGGTGGGCTGTAGACTCGAGTCAGAAGCAGTTAAAAACCCAACTCCTTCCTTTCTGTGCAAGACTACAAACCTTGTGCAGGCAGGTCTGGGATTCCTCTTTTGGAAGCGCTGAAGCTACCTGGAGCTTCCATGTCTGCAGCTTGTTTGTTCAGATGGGGAAGAATGATTTCACAGCTCTGGCCTTGGGCACACAGTTATTGTACACCATGCAGGTGCAATTGGGAATGGCAAATATAAATCTTCCCTAGCCTAAGAGATGTGTTGACAAAGCAGAGTTTCCTCAGTTCTAGAACCAAATCAGGACTTTCTGACTGAGAGGATCAAAATCACTTTAGATTCAGGATTTACACAGGTCTGAATAAAACACAATTGTGTTTCCAATGAGTCTGTAAGCCTAGGAAAAATCTGGTTTTTTATGCAGTCAGTTTCATGTGTATGCATGTTTTCATGCTGTGTAGTCTGAAAAGAACATATTTTTAATTAAAATTCTACTGGAGAGCAGTTCGTACAAAGGTTGCAACTCTCAACAAGTTGTAGGGGACTGCAGGTTTTTCTATCTCTGCTTAAGCTCTTTAGAAAAGAAGGTTTTGGACAAGTAAGTTGTCAGAGCGTTCAAAGTTCAGAAGTTTCAAGCCAGCACTTGAGTTAGGGGCTTAAATTAGAAATATGGTGTTTACTATCTAAATTCTGGACAGCTGCTTTCTGCAGCCTGTCAATGCCCATGCACATCAAATTAACTAAGATATGAACAACGTGATACGAGAAGTGTGTGCAAATCTCCATCTTACAAGGGTGTTAATTCTTGCCCGTTTGATTCTTCAGGAGAGGATGAGTGGCGTGCTGAGCAGCGTGATGGCTCGGAAGTCTTGCTCCAATGGAGTGCTGAGACCCAAGATATCTCCGTTATCTCAGACACCTACTTTCCCATGTACTTCGTTGCACCCCGTAGGTCATTCTAAAAGCATGGCTTTCTGTGCTGCTTGTGCCTATCCCTAACCATATCCCTGTCCCCTAACCATAAGGATTTCTTCCCCTTTCAGGCAAGTTCTTGGGCAACCAGGTTTTGAGTTACGGGCAAAACCTGACTTTCTCCTTCCATGTGGACAGGCGGGACACACGCCTCTCTGCAGAAGACCTGGTGCTGGAAGGGGCTGGGCTGAGGGTGTCAGTGCCTCTCATTGCCCAGGGCAACTCCTACCCCAGTGAGAATGTGCAGACCTACACCTTCAGGTACAATGGGAACAGCTGTCACCTGGCCTGGGCTGCCTTTGGCCTCTGAGGTCTTGAGGAAACAGAGATCATTAGGTTTAAACTTACGTGGGTGATGTTGCAATAGCACAGTGCTGTTGCAAGGAAGCTTTTGAGAGGGTGCAGCTGTTAGCAGCTGAAAGCTGTGCTGATGATGCTTGGCTCTTCTTCCCAGGCTCCATGAGGCTGCAGATTACCCGTGGAGGCCTGCTCTTATGGCATTTGAATTCCAAAAGCTTCTCTACAACTTGACTTCCATCAAGATCCGTGGGACATACAGTGAGAGAAGTAAGCTGAGCAGAATGTCGTAGAAGAGGGGGCAAACTCATTTGTCTAGTGCTTGGGTTGCTTCATTGTAGGGTCCAGCCATAAACAGCTGTGGCAGCTTATTTGGCAAAGCTTGTGCCAATGGCTTTTCACCTGACTTTCCTTTTCCTGGCTTTTTCCTGTGTAGCATCTTCTTCCAGGCTTCCCAAAGAGGATATGGGAAAGAAAAGTGTTGTCTTTGAATGTCTGAAAGCTGAACACTTATCAACTGCTGATTCCTTGCTCTAGACATGGGAATTTTACTTTGTTTTATAGCAACTATCCTCTGATTGGTAAAAATACATAGTACAGACTACTGAAGGACATGGTAAGATGTAGGAAGTTTACAACACTTGGCTTTAAGTTTCGCTACACTGGAAATGGTTACATCCTTCCTCTTTCTGGGTCTTGCCTTGACATGACAAATGGGAAAGACAAGGTCTAAAGTGCTGTCTGTGCAGAACCTGAGTGAAAGGTCCTCATAATGAAGATTTATAAAAATTGCATAAATTAGAAGCAAAAATATGTCTTTAGGTATTGCTATGCGATGAAGAATTTTTGCAGAAAGATGCAAAGGATGAATTTGCATTTGGGAAAGGTTGGAAAACTGCAAGTGTTTTCAGAGGGGTGGCCCAGAATGAGGAATGTATGGTTGTGCAATGGAAGATAAGTGTGGAGCAAACCATCCCTGAGTGCTGTAGCCATTGCTAGTATGTAGGAGCTGAGGTTCTGCTTAGTGCACTGGAGCTGCTGCAGTGGTGTAAACACAGTGGTATAAATTAAAAGCCAGCTATGTTGTGTCTGGGCTCTGTTTTGCTCCAGGGTAGAGGCTGGCAGTAGAGGAGTAAAACGCTGAAATGCCTGAGGAAGGAATGGCTTGAGAGGAATAATTGAAGAGTTTATCCCAAGGTGTGGTTTGCAGTGTATTATAATAGAGACATGGTCTGTTCTGTCTTGAAAGCCAGGAATTGATGTTGGTATTTGATTTGGAAGTGGGAACCATACACATGTAAAAATATAACTTAATTTTAATTGACTGTACTTGCTTATCTGCTGTTCTCAGATTTTCCTTGATATTGTCATTCTCAGCTTTCCTACCCTGCATGTTCCCTTGGTGAGCTCTAGTGAATCTTTTCTCATCTCTCTAAACCTTCCTGGAGGTTTTGCATCTTGATTCACCTTACCAACTGCAAGCAGCCACCTGTCTGTCCCTCATACCATTCAGCTGTGTTTGGAGAAGCAGTGATGATAGCCTTTTTGGTTACAAAGGATTTTCCCCTTGATGCTTTCTAGGTGCCGGTCACCTGGATGATGTCACCATCACAAGTGCTCATCCCGGACCTGGTGTGCCTGTGGCCTGGGTGGAGAGCTGCTCATGTCCAGTGGGATATGAGGGGCAGTTCTGTGAGCGTTGTACCTCTGGGTACTGGCGAGAGACCCCAAGCCTCGGGCCCTACAGCCCCTGTGTGCCTTGCACATGCAACGGGCACAGCGAGACATGTGATCCTGAGACGGGTAAGGGGGGGCTAAGCAAATGCGGAGAAACAAGAGGATGGTTCTTCTTTTCTGGATTGGACAGTGAAGCAAAACTCATGTCCTTCTCTATTCCAGGCATGTGCAATTGCAGGGATAACACAGCGGGGACTCACTGTGAGAAGTGCAGCGATGGGTATTATGGCGATGCCACGGCTGGCACAGCCTCGGATTGCCAGCCCTGCCCATGCCCAGGCATCTCAAGCTGTGCCATTGTGCCCCGCACCAAGGAGGTTGTGTGTACCAGCTGTCAGGCTGGCACTACAGGTGTGTTCCTACATAAAACATCTTTTTCTACATGCAGATGCTTGTGAAAATGTGTCTCCTGCTAGTTCTTGTTCTCTGATCCACAGTGAGTAGCTCTGAAAGCTGCTGTGTCTTCTGGTTTAAATCCTTCTACCTTCTTCAGCCCTATTTTTGGTCCTGTGTGAGGCTTGGTGCTTCACGTATTTTTCATGCCTGTTTCTTGAGAACAAAAGGCTTGATCTAAAAAGTCTGACCATTTCTGTGCTGTATAGGAGAGCCATACTGCCTTCCAGTAGAGCTCTGATGATGGCATGGTGTTGGACAGAAAATAGATTTAAAAGAGCCAGGAAGGTAGGTCAAACTGAAACAAAATTAGAAGGTGCAGTTTGCCAGTAAGGCACTACAGGATGCTTCCTAGGAAGAGCAGGAAGGCTGCAGTGACTCATGAACACTGCCCAAAAAAATCCAGGATCAAACTAGTGCTCAGCAATTTTAAGGAGAAATATGTGAACAGATGCAGATCTTTTTTTCTTAGCAATAAGCTGTGAAGTCCAAGCATGTAGCTGAGTTGTTAAGCAGAAACTTTTGTTCTGCCTGCAACCAGCAAGGAAGCCATAGGATGGTTGACAGCCTTCATGCTTCTCTGCTGATTTTATGCTTGGCATGGCAGAATCCAAAGTAAAGAATACCTGTAAATTCTTGAATGCTTAGGAAAGCCTCTAACCAAGCACATAAGCAGCTCATGGGGGTTCCTGTGAGTGCCACTGCATTGTGAATTGAAGCAGAATCCAGGCCCTAGGTTCCCTTCAGCTCAAGTGTCTGTAGCAGCTGATCTTTCTTGTAGCTATGTGATTACAGAAGAGTTCCTCCTGGCTCACACCACCTTTTTGGGGTGTGAGGAAAAAGGGGGTTTGTGCAAGAACTGTCCAAGAAAAGGAGCTCACAACTGGCTGTCAAGGTTAGATCTGCAATAAGTGTAGGAAGCTACTGAATCAGATGCTTCAGTGGTTGCCTGTGGAGGTTCAGCAGGTCTCATTGGCAGAGGAGCTACCTGGAGCAGTGATGCCCCATGGAACTCTACCCATTCAGATTCTTAAATTAAGAACAAATTTCAGCAAATAGGTTTGGCTTAAATAGATAGGAGGGAAAGGAAGAATGGAAATGATTCATAATGCAAAGTTCATAATGCAAAGTTCATAATGCAAAGTGAAAAATCAACTTGAATTTAGAGATGAGGAGGGATTTGTATCTGGCCCCAACAGAAGGATGGAAGGGGAGAAGCTGAAGAGTTTACTTTTCAGAAAGCACTACTGAATCCATGTGAGATGGCAGCAAAGGGCTTTCTGCTGCAGCACCCATGTCTGTATTGTGTCACAGGCAAGAGGTGTGAGCTGTGTGATGATGCCTATTTCGGAGACCCACTGGGCAAAAAAGGTGCTGTGAGGCCCTGCCGCCTATGCCAGTGCAACAACAACATCGACCCCAATGCTGTGGGCAACTGTGACCGCCAGACTGGCGAGTGCCTCAAGTGCATCTACAACACTGCTGGCTTTTACTGTGACCGCTGCAAGGATGGCTTCTTTGGGAACCCCCTGGCCCCTGACCCCTCTGACAAGTGCAGAGGTGAGACTTGCTTCTTCTTGCATTTAAAAATGGTTTCGTCCCCAAGTGCTGCTGTCAGGCTGTCACTTGTGCCCATTAGCAGCAATGTGTGGCTTTATCCTGATTTGGTGGTTTGAGCTTGCATTTTATCCTTGTGTTTTGTGGGCACTTAGTGCTATCACGGCAAAAGCATTGTGCAGTGCAGGTGCTGGGTGGCTATGTGGTTTGGATCCAGGCCCATTAGGGTAAATACCAACACCACAAGGGATTTCTAACTTTGTGCACATTTCTCCATGCCTTTTTATTTTTGCAGCTTGTCACTGCAATCCCTACGGCACAGTGAATCAGCAGACGATTTGCAATCAAGTGACTGGGCAGTGTGAGTGCTTGTCTCATGTCACTGGGAGGGACTGCAGTGCCTGTGAGCCTGGATTCTTCAACCTCCAGAGTGGACGTGGCTGTGAGAGGTGAGATTTGTCTTGGCTTGGGGCAGAGACCCTGGTCTTGGAGGGTCTGTGCTTACATTGTGCAGGAATGTGATGTTTGCCACAAGTAACAGGTATGCCTCTGCTGCTGTGGGTGGGGAGGAGCAGTAGTCAGGGAGCAGCTACGAAGGCTGTATAAAAAGCCTGACTTATAAATAGCTTCATAAAGAGCTTTAAATCAGGGTTTTAAATAGAAAACTGGTGCATGACTTTGTGATTGTAGCAGGGGTTCTTGGGTTCTTCTTTAGTGCAGGCAGTAAGTGACCTTGCATGGTTCAGAAGCTCGGTGCCTCACCTGCAGCAAGAAAAATGGCTTTTGGCAAATGCAGATGTTGAGCTGTGCTCTTCAGAGAGTCACTTTGCTCCACATGTCCCTTCTGTGTCACATCTGATGTGTGTCTGCCTCCCCCAGGTGCAACTGCCATGTGCTGGGCTCCACCAGTGGGCAGTGTGACATCCAAACAGGACAGTGCGAGTGCCAGCCAGGCATCACCGGCCAGCATTGTGATAGATGTGAGGCAAACCACTTCGGCTTTGGCTCTGAAGGCTGTAAACGTAAGTCTCAGGGGCCACAGCGAGGCACATTGGAAGGGTGTTACACACCCAACCTTGCCTTTGCTTTCCTTCTACCTCTAGGAAGGCATTTTGTCACCTCGCTCCTCATCACAGCAGAAGTTGGCACTTTTATGTCCACACTGTGGGTGATGAAATTTGATTTCTGTGCTATAGTTTATCTCCTTCTTTTGTCACTGTCGTGGTTTTAAACCAGTAACTAAAAAAATTACTTATTTCTTGCTGTGAGATATGAATTAGAACAAGAGCAAAACAGGCTTAAAACTTAAAAGGAATAAAGACAGTTTATTAACAAATTACAAGAATAAGAACACCAGAATAAACTTCCAGAAAATCCTTTTATCTCTCACTACTTGACCATTTCTTTGTACACATGACAACATAGAGACAAAAAACTTTATAACTTTGGTGGTCAAAAACAGTCTCAAATTTTTGCTACCGTCTTTTCATCAGTCTTGGTAGAGAAACAGAAGTCTCTTTTTGTTAACCTATGGAGTTTCTCACAAGAAAACTATTTCTGTTATAGTTTTCTATTGCTCTGATGTCAGCTGCCCGGAAATCTGTCATCAGATCTTCTCCCATTTCACATCACTTTGATGTGTGTATGGGCCATGAGTCTAGGGATGTCATTTTAAGGATAAGTCATTCAAAGGCAAAAGTCTTCTTCATCTGTCTCTGTGAGCTTTCCTGGAAAACAGTTCTCTCATTGCCCCCAAGGCTTCAAAATCTTCGCTCTACTCAGTTCCAGCAACTCACTGTATCACAAGTACTCTCTCTCTTGCTCAAAATCCACACTTTGAATACTCTATTCCTCCCAATACTCTGTCATGAATTAAAGGAGTCTTTTTAAACTACTATTGTCCATCTCCATAGCTTTAACAGAAAGATATTTCAGCTGTAAAGCATCTCCTTATTCTCTCTTTCCTATTTAAAACTTAACTCTTTTCCTCACTGTTTTTGGTGGTTTTATGATGTCTTCTTCATGTTGATTGTCTCTCTTTCTCTGTCTTTCTGGGAAAAGGAGTAATCTGTACGTTTTATCCAGGTAGTAAAAAGCTTTAGAAAAGCTGCAAGAGTTCATGGTGTCAGGTTTCAATCCAGCAGCAGAAACTGAAAACTAAACTAGGCTGGCCGGCTCTGTTTTCTTTTCCTCCCCCCCCCACCTCTTCGTCCTCTGCGGCCTTGTCTGGCCTAGGGGGAAGGGCGGGGGGGGAAGCCACAACAGAGCCTTGTTACCTTCTCAGAAGCTGGAAACAAGAGGACAAGAGAGCTCTGACTGTACATCTTAAGGAGGTGTTCACTGGTTGACTTAACTTTTTAATGGTCAAAACTGCTGTCAATTTTAGAAATGACTGATAATTGGTCAGGAGAAAAGACTCCCATCAGCTACCAGCAGTTTCAACTTCCTTAGCTCTCAAAACCACCTTAAAGGTAAAGCTACCCCATGACAGTCACTTTTTTCTTATCCGACTTACTAGATATCCAACTTAGTAGATACCTATTTATCCTTGGTGTAAACACATTCTCTGCATCTTAGCCTCCAACAGCCCTGTTTTCTAATGTGTTCCTTCACAGTTACTCTGCAGGTGTCCTCAGTATACAGGTTCTGTCTTGAGGAGCAACTGATCTTGTAAACATGAATGCAAACAGGGATGATCCAAACTTTCCTCATTGATATCCCTGCCTGTAAAGAGCAGTTGGTTATAATGCAGTGGGGTAGAATGATGCTTTGTGGGAGAGGTCATATAATAACACTGAACACACAGAGTGAATGTTGGATCCTGCTTGTGAGTAGAAGCACTGCAGTCAGGAGTGAGGTCCAACTGTGGGTTTCTGCCCCATAGCTCTTGCAGGTGTTTTAGGGTATTAAGGATATCCTCTTAGCCTGTGAGTTTTCGGGTGTTTCTGCCTCTACTGCAGTCTGACTGAGGTTTAACTTCCCTGCAGCTTGTGACTGTGATCCTGAGGGCTCGCAGTCCCTGCAGTGCCGGGAGAACGGTCACTGTGAGTGCAAGGAAGGCTTCGTGGGGAGCCGCTGCAACCAGTGTGAGGAGAACTATTTCTACAACCGCTCGTGGCCAGGCTGCCAGGAGTGTCCAGCCTGTTACAGATTAGTGAAAGATAAGGTAATGCCACAGACACTTCTGTGGGTACCGCTGGAGATGGTGGCATGTGTCCACCTGTGCAGCATGCCTGCCCATGGCTGTTGGTGGTTGCTGAAAGCAGAGAGGCTCAAGGTGCTTTGCTGTGTCATAGCTGTGCTCTGTTCCTCTCATGTAGGTAGCAGAGCAGCGTCAAAGACTGCAGGAGTTGGAAAATCTTATAGCAAATCTGGGTACCAGAGAAGAAACTGTAACTGATGAAGCCTTTGAAGAGAGGTTGAAGCAGGCAGAAAGAGAAGTTACAGAGTTGCTTCATGAAGCACAAAAGAGCAAAGGTGAGTTGACCTGATCAGGCATGGACCAGCTAAATCAGTTCTTTGCCTGATGTTCCTGTTCCCTTTGTAGACAGCATGTTTTATTTCAAACCAGTGCTGTGCTCCAAGACTGACAGCAATTTCAGGCAGCACCGAGTTAGTGAATGTTATTTTCAAAACAACAGTGGCTGTGCTTTTATTCATGCTATTCTACTAGCAGTCTTTGTTGTACACGGAAGTAAAGATCTGTCTCTAGTTCTATGTGGATGGAAGTGTTTTATGTGTTACCCTCTTTTCTCAACGCAAAGGAGGATTTCATTTGTTAAACAAGCAGAAAACTTTCCAGTATACTTATTATGCTTTAAATTTGCTCAGACATCTTGGGATTAAGTAGTTCTTGTTGGGATATCAGATATATCAGTGATCAGAATGAAGGCTTCAAAATCCTGGTGGCAAACTGAATTATCCCACCAGAAAGTGTAGAATATTCTGAAGAGTGCTATTTTTCCTGTTACACTCTGTTTCAAATTGATTCTTGTGTTGTCACCCCTACCATGGGATGTGTGTGAGCATGATGTTTGTCATGTCTGTGACAGTAGTTTGTCCTTAGTGTCTCTTTAATGTATAAGATAACGCATGTTTTGGAAAAGAGAACCCTGAAGAAGACTATTGACTTTGCAGCAAAAGATGTTGGTTCATTGATTTCAACCCACTTTGAGAAAGTTTGTCCCTTTTGTGTGAAGCTGGGAAAAAGTTAACATGTGTCTAATGCTGGCATTTGTTTGGGAAGATTCCTGCCAGTGAGAATGATTGCTTATGCTTTTCTCAGCTTTAGCTGAGGTAGATTTATACTGCCTGCTTGGCATCTGTGCCTAGATAATACTCCCACATAAGGGGGTAGCAGAATGGGGATTGGAGAAAGATGAGGGGATGGATTTGGTTTTGCGGTGGAATTTTTGATCTGTCTCTCTGTCGTGGAATCGTAAAATAATTTAGTTTGGAAAGAACCTTAAGATCAAGTCCAACTGTTCCCTGTCCCCCAGCACTGCCAAGGCCACCACTAACCCATGTTCCCAAGAGCCACATCCACCTCCAGGGATGGTGATTCCACCATTCCTCTGGGCAGCTGTACCAGGGCTGGACAGCCCTTGAAGTGAAGAAATTTTTCCTGCTATCCAACCCTAACCTCCCCAAGCACAGCTTGAAGCTGTTTCCTCTCATCCTGTCCCTGTTCCTTAGGAGCAGAGCCCTACCTCCCTGGGTGCACCCTCCTGTAAGGGAGTTGTGGATAGCCAGAAGGTTCCCCCTGAGCCTCCTTTTCTCCAGGCTCAACCCCTCCCAGCTCCTTCAGCTGCTCATCATGAGACTTAGCTCCAGACCCTTCCCCAGCTCCAGGTTCTTCTCTTACTAAGAGGGCAAGGTAAATGCAACAAAAACTACCCTTGGAAAAATCTGTGCACACCTATAGAAGTAATTTTTGTTTCTCTGTGGTGATATGTTTTTGAAATGTGTCAGATGTTCACGTTCAATACTTAAGATGTGCTGCAAGCTCAAGGTATTTGACCACTCTTAATTTTGGAGTTCTGTGGGCTTCTGCTTGCACTTTAATTCTTGGTAATACTCTCAGCTTTTCAAAAGTAGCTGCCTTGGTTTGAAGCACATACCTGTGCTGTGATGCCTCCATTATTAAAATGCTATTGTGGGGAGTTACCTGATGGTCCAAAAATTTGGTGAAGTTTGGTGCCTTACAAGTCCTGCATATGTGAGAACCAAGGCTCTATCCTGCCAGCTTTTGTCAAACCTTTGGTTTGGAGAGAGTTTGGAGTGGGTTTGGTATTCCACACAGCTTCTTGCTGTTCTGTATGGAGCTCGTTATGTCTTTCTTTGGAGTAGCCATTGTTGCCCTGAGTGTGGACAAATGTATGTCTGCACTATTCTTCCATCTCTGCTGAATTTGTAGGGGATAAGCTAAAGATAATTCACAAAACAGACATTTTTTACCCATTGAGGAACAGCTCTGTTGTCATTTTAAGTCAACAAGAGAGGTAAAACATGATTCTGAACACAGAATCTCCCAGGGTCAGTTCCAACACCCAGCAGGATTGTCTTATTAGCAGTAAGTGGCTTTTCATTTCTCCTGTTTGGTGCACATTCTGATTATGACTTTGATCTCAAACTAAGTGACTTGTGAAATGGCTTTGCCTAGTTCCCTTTCAGTAGGGGATTAACCTACCAACACATTGCCTGCAGTTCAGCATTGCCTGCTCCAGCTTCTCTTCCTGCTCTAATTAATTTTGCTTCCTCTCTTTTCTGTCATGTGCTTCAGACGTAGATCAGGGCCTCATGGATCGTCTCAGAGACATCAACAGCAGCTTAGTGAGTCAACTCAACAGACTGAGGAACATCCAGGGCACGGTGCAGGACACAGAGAACCTGGCGGAGCAGGCGCGGGTGCGGGTGGAGGACACTGAGGACCTGATCAGCTTGGCTTCTGATATGCTGGAGAAGGCCAAGATGGCAGCTGCCAACGTGGTGAGTGTGCTGCTGAGATCCCACACAGCTGGGAGAGGGTGAGGGCCTTTCCTTCTGTGCCTCGTGTGTTTCTCCACTTGCTCTCTCCCTTGTACAGCAAATTTGCATCAATATCATGGGAAATCAATGAAGGAAGTTCACTACTGTCAGTCACAGATTGTATCTTAGCCCAAAACAACATTAAAAGTCCTAAATAAATATTAGCACCATTGTTTTTCGAGGGATAACCCATGGTGGAAATTGCATGGGCTTAAGAAAAGTGAGAAGTAGGTTAGACACATCTCTAAGCATTTAGATCATGACAATAAATATTAAAAGCAAAGACAAATAAAAGTTGCAAAAAGAGCTTTAAGGTTTTTTTTCCTTTCTTTTTCTTTTCCAGTCCATTACATCTCCAGAGCAAATTGGGGACCCCAACAACATGACTCTGTTGGCAGAAGAGGCCCGTAAGCTGGCAGAAAGGTAGGCTGTGGCAAGAAATGCTCATGGCCTATGTTAGGGCCCTGCTCTTCCCTACAAGGGGGAAGCAGAATTTCATATGCTGGGTGGGAAACACACACCCTTTGCTGCTTAAGAGACTGAGGGATGATGGCTGTAGCACTGAGGGCAAAAATTACTCATGTGGATGACAGACATGGCAACCATTTTCCATTGCAAATATTTCAGGATCTCCCATATGTAAATCTGGGGGAAGGAAAAAAGGAAAAGAGAGAATATAATCAAGAACTGAGGATAAAAACTATTGGCTGACAAATCCAATGGCATTGTTTTTCTTCTGTCATCTTGTCCAGGCACAAAAAGGAAGCTGATGAGATTGTTCGCACAGCCAAGGCTGCAAATGATACTTCCACAGAAGCATATCAACTGCTGATGAAGACCCTGGCTGGAGAAAACCAAACTGCAATTGATATTGATGAGCTCAACCAGAAGTGAGTCAGTAAAAGAAAATTGCTTTTATTTCCTGACTTTAGAGCAGTGCTTAAAACTAAGACAACCCTCTGTATGCTTTGGATGTTGTGGGAGGTGATTTTCAATTTCTTAGCCTCTCCAGTCTTTTAGTAAGTTCAGTTCTACAAAAAATATTGTTACATAACTGTATCCTTGGGAATTTTTCAGGTACAGTCAAGCAAGGAATATTTCTCAAGACCTAGAGAAACAGGCCAACAAGGTGCTTGTGGAGGCAGAGGAAGCTGGAAACAGAGCCCTGGAGATATATGCTAATCTCACCAGCCTGCCTACTGTGGATTCCACAGGGCTAGAGGTACGTGTGGGCACCATCATGTGCAGTATTTCCTGAAGATTGCTGGGTTGCTGGCATACCTTACCTGTGCTCTGCTAATGTTCGCTGCATAAGAACGCTCTGCGGGTTTTTTGTCTATCTAGGCATAATTCAGCTTTTACACAATTCCGACACTCATGCAGGATATTTAAATGCAGAAAATCACCTACATAAACCCCACCTCCCCCAGTTTCTGAAGGACAAAAATCTTGAGTGAAATGTTTTCCAAACATCTTGGCTTGAATGTAGAAGTGGAAAACTTCACCACCTGCTCAGGAATTCTTTAGCATTCAGGAATCTGTGTGTATGTTTTCCACCTGCAGAATGAAGCAAATAAGATCAATAAGGAAGCAGAGGAACTGGATCAACTAATTGCCAGGAAGCTAAAAGATTACGAGGACTTGAGAGAAGATATGAAAGGAAAGGAGTTAGAAGTAAAGAACCTCTTGGAGAAAGGGAAGACAGAGCAGCAGGTAAGTTCCACGTTGTTCAGGCTTTTGTTCCCTGGGAAAAAAAATATGGTGAAGACAAGTAACTGACCAGATGTAAATGATTTCATCTTACTCAGTCTTAGTGTTACTTACTGATTATAAGAATGCTGAAGAATGGCCCCAGAAAGGAGATGCAGAAAGCTGTTAAAAACAATGGCTTTGAGGCTGTATGGGAGAATAGGAGATATATGCCAGATGTGATGTCAACTTTGTATTCAGAACAGTATTCCCAAAGTACCTATATTCATCTGGTCCCAGAGGAGGCACTGCTGTTCTGGATGTGGCACTGTTGTTTGAGACTTAACAGTGCATTTTCAAGGCCTACACAATTGTCCTTCAGAAAGTGGGAATACATTGATACATGTCATGTCTCCTCAGACTGCAGACCAGCTCTTGGCTCGAGCAGATGCAGCAAAAGCCCTGGCTGAAGAAGCTGCTCGGAAGAGCAGTGGCACACTACAGGAGGCCAATACCATTCTCAGCAATCTGAAAGGTAAAGAGGATGCACTTAGAGTGAATCCTTCAGTTCTAGTGTGACAAGTCACTTGGCAGTATGATATTCTGGTTAAAGGGGCCCTGCTATTGTCCTTACCTGGGTGTTGGGTGTGTTCTTTTGGCTTGTTTTACTCTAAAGAAAAAATAAAGATGTTTTCAGGGACTGGAAATTTCCTTTTAACTTCCTTATTTAGCATCAGAAGATGTGCAATAAGGAGAGCTGACCCCAGTTTACTCTTCATCCCTCCAATGTCAGGGCAGCAAAGTCTTGGGTAGCTTGATCAAAGGAGCATCCCAAGGCTCTTCTGGAGCATGTGATAAGGATCTGTTTTGCCCCCCTTAGACTTTGACAGGCGGGTGAATGATAACAAGACAGCAGCTGAGGAGGCACTGAAGAAAATCCCTGCCATCAGCCAGACCATTGCAGAGGCCAACAACAAGACACACCAGGCAGAGCTGGCACTGGGCAATGCTGCTGCTGATGCCCGAGAGGCCAAGGCCAGAGCAGATGATGCTGAGAAAATTGCCAGCTCCGTTCAGAAGGTGGGTGGGTCTGCTGCACCTCGCCCCCACTGAGATCCTCCTGTGTGATTGCATGAACTCCTGTTACAGTATTTCCTGGTGAGCCCTGTGTGCTCTCTGCTGTATTCCTCACTGCAAGTGCAAAATATGGCAAGATAGGAAATCAGTGCATTTTGATGAGAAAGAAGTTTTGACTGAAGGAAGTTCTGCACCTTCACCACCTTTTTCCATCCTCTCCCACCTGTTGGCTGTAGAGTGCTGCTGCTACCAGAGCTGAAGCCGACAAGACCTTTGCTCACGTGACAGGACTGGCCAGGGAGGTGGATGACATGATGAAGCAGCTGCAGGATGCAGAAAAAGAGCTGAAGCAGAAGCAGGCCAATGCTGAGCAGGATATGAAGATGGCAGGCGAGGTAAGTGCTGCTGGCAGGTGACAGCAGTGGGTAGGAGCTGCATTCTCCTTGCTGTCCTGGCAATAAAGGCTTTCCTCCTGTTCTCCTCTTGCAAAGACATTGCTGGGTCCAGCTAGTATTCCGACTCTTCCAGGTTTTAAGTGAGATTGAAAAGGAGACAAGTTCTAGTGCATTAGCATAGGCTTCCTGCTGGAATTTGAGAGCTACTTTTCCTTTTATTTTAACTAAAACCTGACTGTATAGCCCTGTTGATTCCATCGTGGCTTTTACTGCAAAATCCTGCTCAGTTTTCAGGGATCTTTATCCTGAAATATTCAGAAAACCAATTCACTTGAAGATTGTCAGTCTTCTTCCCAGCCCTGTAATAAAGATCTTTGTGCTGGGTTGTTATCATGGAGTGAGGAGGCAGCAACGTGGTGACTAAGTGCAGAAGAGAGGCAACAGTTCTGTAACCCCTAAACCTTTTTTGTGCTCTCACTTATTTTTTTATATCCTACAGGCCTCACAGGCTGCCCAGGAGGCAGAAGACAATGCAAGAAAAGCTAAGAACTCCGTGAACAGCCTACTCACTGTCATTAATGACCTGCTGGATCAACTAGGTAGGACTGTCTTTAATGTGCTCTATGCCTTTGAGTGTTTCCTGATGTGTGCTGGCTTTCAGGCCAATATTGTTTGGGTAACCAGATGGATCTGTTGATCTCTTGAAATGGGGTTTGTGTGGTTTTGGCAAGGACTTTGGGTTTTTTTCTTTCTTAAGTAGCCTCAGAGCTTCTTGGGCAATGTTCTGTGCTGGTTTTCTGAAAACTGAAGACTTCTTGAGGCAGTAGAGATGTCACCCATATGGCTGGTCCTGTTTAAGAAGCTGTCTCTAATTCAGAGATGGCCCAATAGAGGTCTGCTGTGGGCTCAGCCATGTGAGCACCCAGGATGTCAAAGGGGTTTTAATGCACTTCACTATTTGCTTCTGGCTTTTCAGGGCAACTGGAGACTGTGGACTTGAACAAATTGAATGAAATTGAAGGTACCCTGAACAGTGCCAAAAACCAGATGAAAGATAGTGACCTGGACCAGAAAGTGTCTTTCCTTGAGAGAGAAGCCAAGAAGCAAGATGATGCGATACAGGCCTACAACAGGGATATTGAAGACATCCTGAAGGACATTAGCAACCTGGAAGACATCAGGAAAACCTTGCCATCTGGCTGTTTCAACACCCCGTCCATTGAGAAACCCTAAGGGTGTGCTGGGGGTGGGGGGAATCGCCATGGTGAGTGGTGATTCAGCCATGTTTGGCCATGGAGTGCCTTAACACACATTACCGTCTCCAAATCCCCAACTCTTTGCTGCTCGCAGCCGCTGTTTTCTTCTCAAGTCAGGATAAGTTGAAAGGGTTTTTGTTTTTTTTGTTTTTTTGGGTTTTTTTTGTTTGGTTGGGGTTTTGGTTTTTGTTTTGGGGTTTGTGGTTTTTTTTGTTAGTTTTGTTTTGGGGTTTTTCTGGTTTTTGTTTTGTTTTTGTTTTATTTTGGGTTTTTTGTTGGTGTTTTTTGTTTCTTTGGTTCGTTGGGTTTTTTTGAGAAGCAAATTAATTAAATATCCATCTTTGGGCATCAAAGGGGTTTTTTATATAGATTGTTTTTCTGAGCTCTCCACCTTTGCCCCTTCCTCAGACACAGTTTCCCTTAGATTAGTGCAAGGATGAGAGATGCTCTGGACTCTTTATACTGTGGTTCAGAAATAACTATGTGAGCTGTATACAGCAAGGCAAAACTAACACAACTTTCTCTCCTGTCTTCTCCCTTTGACTGTAAAATCCTCAGTCCTGGAGCTCTTTGAAGCCCCCTATGAAGGAAGGGGATGGCTACCAAAGTGTTACTGTAATGGCCAGTATAGCTGCACTCAATTCAGATCCTTCTTCCCAACTTCTAACCCTGTGAATTTATTTTTTTCATCATTACTTAGTGGCCAGTCCAACAGTGTTGGTAGCCTTTGACAAAATAGCTGAAGCCTCTTTCTGAAATGCTTTCTGTGATGATGCATTGCTATGAGAAAAAGGCAGCCTCTGATTGGAGCTCTGTGGGAAGATGGGATACTGGTGGAGTGATGGGTCTTGCCAGTCCCACTTCTGTGGAGAAGTTTTGGATCTGGTTTGAAAGCTGCTGCCTGCTGGGTAGTCCAGACTGCCAGAGTGTGGAAGCCAGAAGCTGCATTTCCATCTGTTGCTACTGAATTTCCACAGGATCTGGTTTTATGGGCTTGAAATGTGACTGACAGATGAGTTTGTTGAAGCAGGACAAGTCTTGCTGAAGAGGAGAGCTGCCATCCAGAGAGCTCCAACAGCTGCACTGTCCTCCATGCTGAATGTCTTTGGGTGGGGAAGGAAGGGGGCACATGAGTGGAAATGAAAAGGTTTTTTTTTTTTCTTCCCATCTTTTTCCTGGAGGAGGACAGTGGGATTTTTATCTCTCCTGCCATTGCTCTGGCGTTTTGCCTGTTTTAAAGCTGGAAGGAAGAGCTGGAATTTCCTAGTGCACTCCTTTCTTTTTGCCTCCAGATCTCCCAGTCACTGTAAAGCTGCTGCAGCGCTGGGACCTCAGGCCAGGCTCAGGCACCAGCTCTGCCTTTTACACCACTCACATTGCTTTCCTGCAGGCTCCCTCCCCACGCAGTGCTCATTGGTGCTGGGTGGGTGTGGCAAGGAGCCCCTTGCTCCCAGACAAGAGCATCCTCTGCAGCTTCTTCCTTGTCTCCAGCCTGGCATCCCTCCCCCCTTTCCCTGAGATCCAATATATATATCTATCTTTAAACGCTATGCAACTTTGTACGTTTGTGTATCGGGGAAGAACTTATTATCTGACACACACTGGTGCTATTAATTATTTCAAATTTATGTTTTTAGTGTGAATGTAATTTTTTTTTCTGTTTTTTTTTATCATGATTATAGTGTGAGGAAGTCTCTCGTGTGTGTGTATGTGTGTGTAAATATACTCAGCCATATTTCCAGAGTCACACAGCCTGGCCTCCTCTGTGTGCTTTCCCCTGTAGCCATTGGGGCATGTGCACCATGTATCACTTCTCTCTATATCATTCTCTTAAAACTTGGGATTTCTTCTACCTGGGTTCCTGCTTGCTTCCCTGTATTGTATCCCCAGCACCCATCTTTGCCTGTCAGGTGGATGCTTTCCAGCCCTGTCTCCAAAGCCAGCCCTGCCCCCCATGATGCCTGCAGCACCCAGTTCTGTGTCATTTGTCCCCTGGGATGCTGTGCCAGGAGTTGAATGGGAGCTGTGGTTTTGCAGCTGGGCCGTGAGGAGCTGTAGTACTGTTGGGAGACCAGACCAGCACTGAGGTGGTCACAGAGCTGCATTTGGGGGCATCTTGATACCACTGTGCAAGGCAGGAGGCTTAGTGCAGACAGTGCTGCTGGGCAGAGGATATTTGGTATCCCAAAGTCTGCATGGCTCTTGAATCCCTTCCCTTAATGATTGTGGGATTTCCCTCCTGCCTGGAAACACCTCTGGAGGAGAGCTCCCTGTGCCTGCACACACAGGGACATTGGGTTGCTCTGGGAAGAGCTGTGACCACATCACCTCTGCTGAGGCTGTGAGAAGAACAGATGCAAAGATGTGTGCATGCCCTGGCTGACCTCAGGCCTAAGGTTTCCTGCTTTCTTGTGGGTTTTTGGTTTTTTTCTTAAGCCGTTTTTAACAGAATTTTATTTTTAAATAAAAGAAAATCTTTATAAGCAATCTGTTAATCAGTACTTCATTACAGCCATTATTCATTGTATAAGTCCAGTTATTTCTTTACATAATGTGATGATGTGACAGCTGCTGGTGGAGTGCTGGGTGTCATGGATGACGCGTGACATCTCTTCATCACCTTATTCTTGACTGTGGCCTCCTCAGTATGTGCCTTCACTCCAGCACAGATCTGTGGTCTTGCTGTCTGGGGTGGTGAATAAAATGCAACACTTGCAGTTTTTATGTATAAAATGGTATTTCTTATTTATAATAAAGTCTGAATATTTGTAACCCCTTATACCTGGGTATTCTGTTGAGTATTATTTTATTTTTGGTGGTAGGATATTGATGATGATGTGTCTTGATTGCAAGATTCACGTCTTGCTCCTTAGACAACCTGGTTTGGTATGGGAAAAAGGGAGAAGAAACTCAGAAATGCATGTGGTGGGATACATATGACAAGGATGATGGTTTTTCCTTGTGTCCACTGCTCCACTGCCATGTCTGTGATGGATTTTAAGCTGCTGGTTTTCCAGGACTTAAAAATATACTATGTCGTTGGTGCTGATGCTATTGGAATGGCATTGTCTTCCTGGAAAGCCCTGAGGAACTGTGGGGGAGTTTATTTGCACTGTAAGGGAAAAATCATTTTTACTAAACAGGTAGAAAAGGATGGGGCTTCTGGGAAAAGAAAAAAAAAAAAACTGAATAAAGAAGATGAAATTACTAGGAACTGCCACAAATCTGGGTGCTCTGTGTTGTTGCTGGGTCCTGTCTCCCAGAGCCTGACCTGAATTGATCAAATTTTTAAGGACAGATTGCAGTGATAAGAAACTAGGCTGTTCTGTGTTCACACTTGTTTTACAGCTCCAGCTAGATTTCTGTTATTTTTCTCAGCAGAGGAAAATGCACAGGTCTCATTAACTTGCATCAGAGCTAATCCCATCTCAGCTGGTAAATTCCTATTATTTTTACATGTCAGTTTGTGTACTTTCAACCTTTCATTCTTCAGTTGTCACTAATTAATTTGTTTTCTAAAATACATCTTTTTGTTCCTTGCCTATGTTTTTGTGAAGCAAATCCCAGCTGGTAAAATCTGGCTGAGGTTTCAGCTGGATTGTGGGGAGCAGTCACAGAGCTGACTGGGTGGTGGGATAGTTCTGACCTTGCATGGGCTGTAGGTTGACATGGAGCCTCTTACCATTTTGAGGCAAAATGCTTAGATTAGGAAGCAAGTCTGTATCCTTTATTTTTTTATCTTCGGGATTTTTATTTCTAGAAGTTTTTTGTGGGCACTGTGCAAATGTCTCAATGGTGATCTTGAGGAGGGTCAAGAAGGAGGATGGGCCTTGTTTTCATGTGGTTTTCAGAGGTAATGCTCGAGGATATAGTGGAGGGTGATGAGGTAAGAGTAACCTAAGTAGATACCCAGAAAGCTCTTACAGGAAGGAGCAGACCTGGCTCCAAGGAACCGTGATAATAGTTTACAGGGTGCTCAAATAGAGATGCCCTCCTCAGATACTCAACTCAGTGTAGCCAGTACCTGACATCAAGGTGGGTGAGGAGGCAGGCACCTTGCTGAGCAGTCATGCTTGGTAGCCTTTATTCTCCTTCAGTTCCCTGTGTTTCTTCTCTCTGCCCAGGTTCAAGCTCCATCATCTCTCATGTGCTCTCTGGAGAAGCAGGAGGCTGGCAAGGGGCCTGGTAATCAGCTGGCAATGGGGAGGGTTTGGACAGACCTGAGCTGGGTTCCCTCTCACTTGGGAGGACAAGATACTGTTACAAGTTAAAAAGTACTCAGAACAACTGCCTGGAGGAGACTTCTCTAGTGTGTTTGCATGGATCTGAGGAAGTGGAGGTCATACAGCTGTCACCTCGAGCTGGCAGTGGCCTGTGCTCCCCATCTGCAGCCATGACATGTTGGACCACATTCTGGTTAGTTATTTTTTCTAGTTGGCTGCTGGCTTGACACCTTCAGTGTGCCCCCATCCCAGAAACATCAGGAATGCCATGTAAAAGTAATCCCACAGAGGCTGGGCATGGGGACAGAGTGGATGCAGTTGGATGGAAATTACTTCTTCCTTCATTCCTGTTTGTCTCACCCCTTGCTGGTCTGGGCAGGGCAGAGGCAATGCAAGGCCAGACATGACAGTACCTCCTTGCTGTGCCACTGCTGCTGCCCTGCCCTGCCCTGCCCTACTTGCTCACTACCGGCATCATCCCTGCCTGCTCCCTGCCTGTCTCTACCCATTGCAGCAAAGCTGCTGCCTGATCTCTGTTCCAGGTGGCTCTGGCTGTCATGAGGACTTTTTTCCAGGGCATCCAACTGTCAGAGGAGAGACTGAAGTCCAGGCTCCATTGCTGCACATGAAACCAGCACATCATGGCCACTGATTTTCCACACTGTGAGGAAATCCCAGAGGATTTCTTCCTGCAGGACATGGTAGATAGATGGTCCCTTGCAGAAGGAGGCTTGGGGATATGAGGGTTGACCTGGGCTGCAAGGACTCATAGCATCATGGTGTTCATTTGGCATAAGTCACCAAAATGGATTTTCTCCCTTGCTTACATTAATAAAACAGTCACTTCAGAGTTTTTACACATCCATCACTTTTCACTACCCTCAGCAAAATTTAGATTATTATGTTGTTTCAGACTGGTTTTGGAGTGGTTAATTCTGCCACAGCCACATTCTCAAGGACTGATGAACTTGTGAGCCACTGAGGTCTGCCTGCAGAAACAGCTTTTTTTGCCTGTTGTTAATGAACATAAAACATCTTCAGAAAGACTTGTGTTGCAGAAACAGACACAAAAGACAGAGGTTTTTCAGTGAAATAAAACTGTTCATTTGCAGTGTCTGATGAGCACAGCTGGTTATTTATTTCTCCCTTTGATCACACTTCTGCTTACTCTAAAAGGTAAAACATCTCTGTTAATCATGTTGGTGCAGTACCTTTTCTCAAGGGTGCTGCCATAGCAACAGGTTGCAGTGGGACATTTGCTCTGTGGAGGGTGGTGGGCAGCTGCTCATTCCAGATCAGATCATCCAGATTGCATGTGTTTAGAAAATCAGGGCCTCGGGAAATACATTTTTGGTAGTCTCATGGCATATGGTTTTCAAAGGTCATCTTGAAGCATAGTGGCAGATGACAAGGTGAGAGTAATCTGAGTCAATAAGCAGAGATGACTGAGGAGCAAGCTGTCATGGCCTTGTTTGCACATGTGGAGTGAGAGGTGGGGTGGCAACAGTGAGAAAAAAGGGATAACATGGAGGAGACATAAGGGAAAAGCTTCCTGATGGGGAGGGTTGGTTTTCCAAGAGAGAAGTCAGCCAAGTATGTGGTCTGGGTAAGATCTAAGGGAACTGCTGTTAATGGACCATGCTGCTGGAGCTAACCTTCCTGAGCAGAGGAGTGTCAGCAGGTGGGAAGGACACAGCAGAGGTGTTGTGGATGAGTGATGTACTTAAGAGCAGAAAGGATTGTGTCTCCTTAAAGGTATGAGTAGATCCTAAAAACTGCTGAATTGGTGGGAACACCATTTTATCTCACTTAAAAAAACAGTAATGAAAACCAGATAAAACAATCTCAGATGCCAAAACCCACCACTACACTGTTGCATTTGGGAAACCGTGCTCCTTGTTGTGAGCTGCATTAAGATACAGCAAGTGAAATTAAAAGGAAACCTGTATATAAAAGTGAGTTGGTTCAATCAGCAGAGGCATGTACATTTGGCAAAGGGAGGTGCAGATATGTGGTGAGTGTGGGCTGGCTGTGCATATGAGATCACCAGGAACCACAGAGGAAAGCCCTGTGAGTCAGCTCCAGGTGTCTGGAGTGTCTGGAGGCTGTTCGGCAGTGTAAGAGGCTCAAAGGAGCTCAGTGTTAATCATTCTGATCTGTCAGGCCTGAAGTGACTAGCATGTCATGCCTTGGATTAAGTTTGAATCCCTAATGGAGAAGGGGACCTAAAAGGCAACTTGTGTCTCTGGGGATTAACTTGTTAGGTGTTTTTATTCTATTTAAAGGTGCTCCTCAATCACCTGCCATCACTTATGACATTAGGAGTCTCAGGGAAGCTGCTGTGAAACAGTATGAGGGCCCATCCTTCACTGTGCCCTTCTGATGGACTGCTTCCACAAGGCAGGTGGATATGCTGGGGTCCTTCTTGTCCTGAAGTGTGTGGGATGTGGAGAGCCCCTGCTTCCAGATTTCTCTATTCCCTGTAGAAGTGGTCATGTCCTCCTGCAAGGCAAAAGCAAGGAGTGAGGTGGAACTGGCCTTCATGCCTTGTGTAGCTTGTCAGCTACCCTTGAGAAAAAAGTGTTAATGAACCTGGGGCTGTGAAGCCTGGCTCTGTCAGCAGCCTCAGACAAACATTTCTTTCTATCTTCACTTCTTATCCTTCTGGCATAAAAATGATACAGTAGGTGAGCCCAAGGATCCATCTAAACTCATTTTATATCTCAAGAGCAAAAGCAGACAAACATGTATGATGATTTCCACCTCCACCTAATTTCTATGTCTGGGGATTTCCTGATTGATTATTATCTGGTGAATCCAAATCAATCTGCTTTCTGGGCATTTATTCAAGCTGACCTTGGGTCTCTGCATCCCCAGTCCTGCTAGTCACCTGAAGTGAGGCCTGCTTTTGCAGGTTGGCTGGCTGGACCTGGCTTCCAAGCAGGCAGCCCCCATCCATCCTCCCCAGGCTTCCTGTGAGCTCACCCTGTTTCATTTTCTTCCCTGCAAGCCTCCGGCGTGTCCGGACAGCCCCGCTCTCCCCAGCCGGCACCACTGCCCTGCCTGTGGAGGCAGAGGCGGCCGGCGAGATGGAGCTGGGCGAGCGGGACGGGCAGGAGGGGTGTGTTCAGGTGCTGCAGCTATATTTTATTTCCCTAAGAGGGTGCATGCAGGAGGTCTTTGGGACGCTGTTGCCTCTCAGACAGTGCCTGTCTCTCGATGGGGCAGGCGCCTGTCTGCGCTCCCTGGGCTGGGCTCTTGCTGTGAGTCAGCCCACGGCACACGCGCTCTTCCTGTTGGGAGTGACTCAGGTAGAGCAGCCGATAAAAAACGCACAAAAAATAAGGCACCAGGCAGCCGGTGTGTAGCCCCACCGGAACGGGTGCCTGGTGCTCCCCGGCACAAGAAATGGCCGAGTGCTGGCTCCTGACCGTCGCCTGTCTCGCCGCGTTCCTCCTGCCCGCAGCCCTGAGCACACGTAGCGGAGAAGGTGAGGCTTCGAGTAGGGCTGCTGTTCCTGCTCTGATTCCGCCGGCAGATTGGCTCGCAGCTTTCTCCCCGTGCTGGAGAGTGCCGGTAACTGGAAGGTGGCTTGGGTGCGTGGCATCCTGCTAGGGCACTCTTCCCCTCCTGCCTTCGGGATTCATACTGGATTTGTAGGTGCTTCTTAGTTTTCTTCCGAGGTTAAATATCCCGTGAGCAGTTGGTCTTAGTTTTGTCACTGGTATCCCCTTTCAATAACTTATTTATATGCAATTAATTGCCTTACTGCTATTGGTATAGAGCTTTGCTCTTATGGTGGGATGCAGGTGACAAGCGTCACCCAGGCAGTGGCTGATCTGCCCATCACTGCTGGAATCAAAACCTTCCCTGAGCCTGAAGAAGACCTGGAAGCATCCAGGATCCAATTTGCTGTAATACCATGGCGTTGTTTGGATTTTGTGCAAGTCTGTGGGGCTCACAAGGTGCCCAGCCCTGCCATATCGTATGGGAGACAGGAATCTTCTGTGGTCCACAGCTTTAAAAATCCAGCAGGATCCTCTTCACATGCAAATCTCACATAGTGGAGACTGTCATGGAGGGAGATGTAAATATGTTCAGCCCAGTGGTAATTCAGCTATCCGAATTTCACTTTTATTGGCCTATAGTCTGGAGATGGGTATGTTTGGCCAAAATCAGGTTTTTGCATGTATTTTGTAAATACTGAGTGATTTAAATTTTCTTTGGTCTCCAGTACTGATGTTCTGAAATAAGCTTGCTGGGCTTGAAGTTGAATTTTATCTGTTTTAAGTTTGGTGCAATGGGAAATAAGTGTTGAATAATGTTTTTTTTGTATTTTTTCAAAAGAAAAAAAAATACATCTGTTTTCCTTTACATGCTACTTGGGTTAATTATTACATCAGCCTTAATTACATTCAAGTTTTAAAATACTGGTATAGATTCTTCCTCTGCTCCTTCCTGGCAGTGTGTGAGAAACTGCTTTCCCAGGGACTCTTGAACCCTTTTCGTGTGTATGTAAAGCTGATGGTTGATTACAGCTGTGTTTTCATGCTGCAGCAGACTTTGAGTGGGTAACTTAGCCTGCTGATGGAGCCCTGTATTGATGGAGCTTGTATTGATGTGGAGCCTTCATTGCATGCAAAGCTCTGTTCTGATGGAAGGAGGAATCTTTGCAGATTGGCTTATGTGTACAGAGCTGTCAGATCCTCACAGACCCAGGGCCACCCTCATTGTCTGGTTTTGTGAATTTAAGGAGACAGTTTAAGAAGCTGCCTGCCTTCTCCTCCAAGCCCTTCTGATGTGAGAATTCATCTCAGCACAACCATCAAGCATTTTTCATGCTTTATTCTGCATGTGGGAGCTGGGGGAATGATATCTTGCTGGATGCGTGCTATGGATCTCCTGCATCTTGATGTAGCGCGGAAGAAACCCAGCTGCAAAGCTTCTCCTCAATGGAACCTGCTCTTTTTCATGCATGATCTCACAGCAGAGCCTCAGGGCACCTGGATACAGAAGTGATCCTGTCTTCAGTTGGTCCTCATCCTCCAGCAGCTCCTTCCTGTTCCACCTCATTATCAATTCCAGTGCCTTGCTCTTGGTAAGGACTAGCCTACCTGAGCTCCTGGTTTTCTGGGAGATGAGTAGGAGCAGACACACCAGTGCAGTGGTAGCCCCAACCTGCCACAGCATCTTAAATGGCTTTGAATCAGCGAGACAGGAATTTGTTCCAGGGCTGGAGAGCTGTTTCCTAAGATGCTGCACCAGTAGAGCAACACTCAAAAAAGGGTTTTCATTCCCTGAGGGAATGGTGGTTATGCCTATAATTTAGAAACACAGTAAATCCTTTGGATTGCTTAGATGTAGGGTGATGCATGGGTGGAGTTCAACTCAAAGATCCTTATGGGTCCCTTCCAGCTTGAGATCTAGCTGGAGTGTAGAGGGATGGGGAATGGGATCAATCCAAGTGAAATCTTTCTACTGTGAAGGTGAGCACAAGTACTTGAAGAAAGTCTCACGCTGCTGCTCTCCATTGGTCCTTTGTGTTGTCCATGCCCTTTGGTCACTGGTGATTCTCTCTGAGGCTGGAGTTGCTTTCCCAGACCCTAGAGGCAGGAATTCTGTGCCCACAGGTCCCCTCCCAGCAGGCTAGGGTGGCAGATCTCCTGAGCTTGGTCTCCTGACAGCCAAAATGCAAGGCTGTGCCTGCCAAAGTTGGAAAAATATCTCTCCCTGTTTGCTGGTGCATGAGGTCATCTCTCCTCTTGGCAGAGGCTCTACTGAGTGACTCCCTCTGGAATGTGGTTGCTGATGGGTGTGTGAGAGGGCGGTGCCCAGGTGTGAGCACTGAGAGCAGGAGGTTTTGCCTGGTCTCAGGAATCACATATGCAGAGGACAGGGACGTTGTACCCTGGGGCTGAGCTGTGCCAGAAGAGAGCTGGGAAGGAGGAGGCTCAGTGTGTATGAGTACAAGGCACTATCTGCATCCATGCAACAGGTTTCTGCCAATTTTTGGACTTCCTGCACCTCCTGTGCTCTCAGATATGATCTGGGCAGGGGTTGGGTAGCTGGGCATGGCCTTTCTTGTCCCCAGGAGGCCAGCAGAGAGTAGAGCTACCTAAAGGGAGGTCAAGGCTCCCATGACAGCATCAGGGTGTTTTGGAGCAATTCCTCAGCAGGTTCTGTGCCTGAGAACCTGGCTTTTTCCCTTGGGATGTTTCTTTCTCCTGCCTGTCTTTGCCAACTATTCTATCAGCTGTGCCTGCTCTCCTCAGTGAACCTGAGGAGCCTGTCTGGAGTAAAAGTCCTCAGGATTAAATGCTCCAGTAGTGGCCACTGAGGGATTGCCAAGTAAGTGAGAGGTGGCTTCAAGAGAGCAGCCGGACAAAGCAGTGGAGTGCTGGAGAGGGCACATCTGGTGAGATGCCCAAGTCTGATGTCCAGCGGGATTATCTATCTTGGGTACAGAGGAATGCAGAATCTCATGCCTGTTCTTCCTGCCATCCCTCATGCAGCAGTGTGGGCAGCTGTAGCTTTTCTTTGCAATGAGGGAGGGTGGGGTGAGGTGACCTGTCCAATCCTACCCAAACCTTTTTTGTTAATCTCTCTCTTGGCTGGCACACTTCTGCCAAACTCCTTGAATCACAGACCACTCCTCATCACCCTGCACTGCAGACCTGGGTGGAGGGACCTGGTTGAGCTTTTCCTACTCAACTTATTCCTGGCTAGGTGAAACAAAGGATAACCTCAAGAAACTTTCCCTTTTCCCCAAAGTCTTCAGTTAGGTTACCCATGCTTTTCTCAGGACAAGACCAGGGTTTTTTTTAAACTATCTCTACCTATTCAATGTCCTGGTTGTGTTGCAAGACTTGTGAAGGAATGGAGAACAGCCCTGGCAATGCTGTTGTGTGGATTGTGGCTGCTTGGCTTGGGTTTGTCCCTCCTCAGCAGCAAAATGGGGCATTCCTCCCCAGTGTGGGGATGCAGAGCACCGTGTGGGCACCAGTGGCACTGGGGTGGCTGATGGACACAGACATGGGCACAAACACAGAGATGTGGGGAAGCAGCTCACTGTCAACAGAGCAGGAAGGGGAGGTTTGTGTCACCCTGAAAATTAAGCCTTCTGATAATGTTTCATCGTTCCCATGAAAGTCCTGTAAACATAAGTTGTTTGCACATTCCTTCTAAGAAATGTCTTTTGATGGACATTTCACATGACCAGTGTGATTGGGAAGGTGGTAACTTAATTATCCAATCCCTGGTCATCGTTGAGAATCTATAAATACTGGAGTCAGAGAATAAAGTCACAGGTTTTTGTTCTAACACTGAGGGTAGTAGTGTGAATCATTTTGTATCCTTTAGCGACAGGTTTGCACCACCTGCACCCTGTTCCTTTCCCCTCAGGGTAGGATTGCTGCTGGTGCCTTCATCTCTAGGCATCATCTGAGGTGTCTCTCTGCTCTCCTCTTCCCAGATTGTGACTGCAATGGGATGTCCAGGCAGTGCATCTTTGACTGGCAGCTCCTGAGAGAGACAGGGAACGGGTACCGTTGCCTCGGCTGCCTGGGCAACACAGAGGGTACCCACTGCGAGCGCTGCAAGGATGGCTTCTTCCGACGGTGGGGGGAGCAATGTTGCCTGCCCTGCCTCTGCCACACCTGGGGTACGTCCACAGCTGCTGTGTGGGGCAAGAAGGCTTAAGGCACCTGCTGAGCACCTGGGCAGGTCGCGCTCTGAGCCCCTACATACCAGACCACAGATTTTAAGCCTCGCCTCTGAAATAAGCACAGACTCACAGAATTGTTTGGGTTGGAATGTACCCATCCCAAACTCTCCCTCCTGTCTTTCTGCAGGTTCCCTCAGCCCACAGTGCGACAGCGATGGCCGGTGCAGCTGCAAACCTGGAGTGATGGGGGACAAATGTGACCGGTGCCAGCTGGGCTTTGAGTCCCTGTCTGAGGCAGGGTGCTGGAGGAACGGGCAGTGAGTGCTGGCCACCATCAGTGGCATGTGGCCAACAGGAGGGCCAGCCTCCAAAGCTCTCCTGGGGCCTATGCTGGCTGAAAACACCCCCTGCAAAGGCAGAGTTGGTTTCATGGCATCTCATGGACAGCCTTAAGCCAACCACGCTGGCAAGAGTGGGCTTGAGTGGTTGGAGGTTGGACCTCCATGCTAACTTGAAAGGCTTGGTGTCCTGCAACACCATCAAAATCTGAACTTAGCCACTCTCTGAGATGATGGTTTCATTATGCAGATAATGCCCAAAAAGCAACATGTAAAACAAAACCTGCCCATTTGTGGGGCTGCCTCATGTTGGTGCCACTCACAAGGAGATGCACATGCAAAAAGCCCTCTTTAAACACACTTAGGAAAGTTTCTGATCTGACTTTCTCAGCTGTGTCTTCTTCTTCCTCACCTCATCCTGCCATTGCTCCTTTGAGACTGCTGGCAGGTAAAGGGTGTTAGCAAGAGACAGATGCCTGCAGTCCTGCTGCTGGGCCTGGCCTCCTGCCTAAGCCTCCCTTGGGATGCTGCTTGGTGGAGCTCAGCCAAGGTCTATAAAATTCATCCAGGGTTTATTAAGCTCAGTGAAGCTTCACTTTGCACTTGTGAGTCTGATGCTCTCGGATGCCCTGGAGCAGTAGCAATGGGCACTGGCTCAACATGGCACCCACAGTGCTGCAGATTTTGGAAAAAGGTGGCTATGCAGTTTATTTCCCCACTTCTTGCATGGTAATGGTAGCTGGGAGGGTTATCCACTGTCTTGCATAGAAGTGGGAAGCACTGAGCTCCCAGGCCAAGCTGGAAATCCAGGTAGAGGTTCCTGCTGTCCCTTTGCAGGAGTCTGCAGTGTGAGTGTGACCCAGCAGGCAGCATGGGAGCCTGTCAATCTGGCCTCTGTGCCTGCAAGGAGAGCACCACTGGAGAGCGGTGCCAGAGGTGAGTATCAGGAGGATATGCTGGACACAACTTGGCACAGCCTTCTTCTCTCTGCAGTTGGTTCCTTGGAAGTCCATCAAGTCTTAGAATGGTTTGGGTTGGAAAGGATGTTAGAGCTCATCTCATTCCACTCCCTGCCATGGGCAGGTATCAGCGATGAAGAGAGACGGGGACAACTAACTCAGTGATCAGAATCCGAATTTACTGTGGGCTACGTAAGCTTATATACCATTCTAGGAAAGCTAGTAATTTTTTACTACAACGATTGGGTTAAACATCATACAAACATACTAGCATACATGCATATTTCAACATTGATTCAATCTTCTCCCTGTCGCCAGGCTTGATTCAATCTTCTAGCAATCTTCAAAGCTCTGTTTGTTCCTGCCAAGGCATTCTGACTATAGATCTCTTATGCTAGTCAAGTCCAAGGTACTTTTTGATTTCACCACAGGCAGGGACACCTTCCACTACCCCGGATTGGTCCAATCCCCATCTAACTTGGCCTTGGACACTTCCAGGGATGTGGCAGCTACAGCTTCTCTGGGCAACCTGGGCCAGTCCCTCACCACCCTCTCAAGACAGTTTCTTCCCAGTTTTCAATCTAGCCCTGCCCTCTGTCAGGTTGAAGACATTGCACACACCCATCTTGTTATTTCACCCAGTGATGACCTTGAACCCCGCTGATGGGCTGTATTGCATCAGAGGGATGGTTTTGTGGGCCGGTAAAAGGAGAAAACTACATGAACATTGTCACCTTCTTGCATTTTCCCAGGTGCAAGCAACACTTCTATAACCTGGATGCTAGAAATCCTGCAGGATGCTCCCCCTGCTTCTGCTATGGGCACTCAGTCACTTGTATCAGTGCGGACAACCACAGTGTCCACAACATCACCTCTACCTTCCAGCAAGGTGAAGCCCAAGCAGGACATCCCCATGGCTCCTGGGCATGTTTACCATCCCTTCTCTTCAGTGGGCTGGAGGAACCACATGGTTACTGGAATCCTAGAAATACCTTCCCTGTCCATGCTGACTGCTCCTTGTTTGTGCTCCAGGTACTGAGGGCTGGCGAGGTGTTCATGAAAGTGGCTCCCCAGCCCAGCTCCAGTGGTCCCCACGCCACCAGGATGCCTTCATAGCAGCAAGGAGATCAGAGCCAATATACTTTGTGGCACCTGGTAGGTGTAGGATCAGTGGCTGGCAAAGTGAACCCTTTGCTCGGTCTGATCCCATGAACTGACCCTTTAGGAAGAAAGAAAGATTTTAAGCCTTTTATTTTCCCTTTGCAGCAAAATTCCTTGGGAACCAGCAGCTGAGCTATGGCCAGATGCTCTCCTTTGATTACCGCCTGGACCGAGGGGGACACCAGCCATCTCCACATGATGTGGTCCTAGAAGGACATGGCCTGAGAGTCACTGCTCCCTTCTTGCCCCAGGGAAAGGTCCTGCCCTGTGGCATCAGCCAGATGTACACATTCAGGTAAGCTGGGGGCAGGGGGAGCAAGAATGGTTGTGGTTTAAAAGAGGTTCTGTGTTCAGCTATCGTCCCTTGGAGGTGGCAAATGGCTGCCTGGTTTGGGCTAGATGCATCTCAGGTGCTTCTGTCCTGGATAAGAAAGTTCCTTTGTGAGAGGGGCAGCAGAAAATGTGGCTTGAGGTTGGGTTGTGTTCTCAGCTCTGGATCAGTTGCATGCATGGAAGTCGTTGCCCAAAGGCTTGAGCTCCCAGGAGGGAGATGGGTGAGGGCTGTTGTGTTTTTTGGAGAAGGCATCTCATTTTTTTGAAATCAGTTCCACTTCCCCCCTCTCCCATGGCAGGCTGGACGAGCACCCAAGCAGCAAGTGGAGCCCAAGACTGAATCACTTTGAATTTCGCAGGCTGCTGGGAAATCTGACAGCCCTCTGGATCCGAGCCACCTTTGGGGAATACAGTAAGTGCAGAGAGAGCTTGCAAGGTCGGCTTCTCCTAGTTGTTGGAAACAACAAGTCTCTGGATGGATACACCTTTACTAAAATTTATTAAAAGATAAAAATAGTAAGTGCTCCAAGGGGGCAAAATTAAATAGCAAAGAGATTGAGCAGGATAGGAACTGCTTTGGCTGCCCATGGGCATTGCCATAGAATGTGCGACCTGTGCAGGTCCCGGCTGTGGGAGTCGTTCAGGCGGAGCTGCTGCTCCCTGCGGGTGACTGGCTGTACTTCCCTCCAGGCACCGGCTACATCGATAATGTCACCCTGGTGTCAGCACGGCCCGTTCCCGGCGCCCCCGCCCCGTGGGTGGAGCGCTGCCAGTGCCCGGCGGCGTACCGGGGGCAGTTCTGCGAGAGCTGTGCCCCTGGCTACCGCAGAAACGCCCCCGGCCAGGGGCCCTTCAGCATCTGCGTGCCCTGCAATTGCCAGGGGGGAGGAATTTGTGATCCTGACACCGGTAAGAGAAGCGACTGCGACACCCTGCTTGTAGGCTGTATAGGAATTCAGGGAAGCTGCCTGTCTCCCGAGAATACAGCTGTGGGGAGTCGAGAGCACTGACTTCACAGAAATTTCTTCACGAAAGGGGTCATTAGCTATTGTAAGGGGCTGCCCTGGGAGGTGGTGGAGTCATCATCCCTAGAGGTGTCCAGGGAAGGAGTGGACATGTCGCTTTGTGCTCTGGGCTGGTTTAAAAGGTGGGGATCTGCTACAGGTTTAATGATTCTGTGATTCTGTTTCTCATCTGTGATTCTGAGATTCTGTCTGTGATCATGATTCTGTGTCTTGGGTTTGAAATGTGGGGACCATCCAAGACAAAACTACCCAGAGCCTAGAAGCACTGTAGGAACTCTTTGGAACAAATTGGATGCATGTTGGAGAGAAAAAACATCTGCTACCCAGATAACAATATTTCTTCACTTCTGACTTCTTATTTGAAAGTTAAGCATGGCAATGCCTCAGGTTGGACAGAGCTTGAGCAACCTGGTTTAGTTGAAGAAGTCCTTCCAATGCTAACCATTTCATGATTTTATGTAGTGCTTGATGTGGGTATGATGAGGATCTGAAGAGATCTTGTAGAGGTTGCTGGACCATGGGTGCTTGTGTTGCTGTGGCTGGAGTGGTGGAGGATGTCCCGCCAGGAATGTGAGTAAATGCCCTAAGCCCTTTCCTTGCTCCTCCAGGTGAATGCTACTCAGGAGATGAAAACGTGGGCAATGGTGTCAGCTGCCCCTTTGGCTCCTACCGAGATGCCCAGCAGCCATACAGCTGCAGGACCTGCCCCTGCAGGCTCGGCCAGGGCTGCTCTGTGGGGCCAGGCAGCGAGGAGGTTGTCTGTGACGACTGCCCTCCTGGAGCTGCTGGTAATGCCAAAATGCTTGTTTCTGCTCTGCCTTTTTCCACAGGCATACTTGGAGCTGGGTAGTTCAACACCATAGTCTCAGCCCAGCTTACCTGTGACCCTTCCACTCTTGCCTGCAGTGGGGTGTTTGAGCCCCAAGGGTTGGGTAAACACACCTTGTCATGCTCTGGGAAAAGTTCTCATCTAAATGTAACATGGATGGAGAAAGGATGGGTAGGAGAGGGAGGGGAACAAAAAACAAGGAAAGAAACAAATAGGAAACAACTTATAGAAGGTCATTTGTGGCACCCAGCTTTTGGGAGTGTGTGTGGGCCATTGGCTGTGGTGGTGATGACAGCAGACCAGCTGTTGTGCCAACCCTGATGGGGCTGAACACCCCCATTTCTGTGGGACACAAGCAGTGAGTCAGCCTCTGCCTCCCGGGCACAAGCATTAACTTCTGCTCGTCTCTCCTTTCCCAGGTGCCAATTGTGAGTACTGTGCCGATGGCTATTTTGGAGATCCAGCGGCTTCCCAGCCCTGCCAGCTGTGCCAGTGCAATGGCAATGTGGAGCCCAATGCCGTGGGCAACTGTGACCGCCAGACCGGCGAGTGCCTCAAGTGCCTCTACAACACCACTGGCTTCTACTGCGACCGCTGCAAGGATGGCTTCTTTGGGAACCCCCTAGCCCCTGACCCTGCTCACAAGTGCAGAGGTGAGATCCAGGTGCTGTCTGAGCTGGGGATGAGCAAGAAAACTGATGACTGACTATGGAGTGGTTTGATGGGAAGGAGGATGCTGGAAAGTGGGAATGGTGAGCAGGAACCAAAGCACAAGGCTAAATGGTAGGAGGAAAGCAGGGAGAGATGTACTGTGGCTTGAGGTGGGGCCAGGTCCCCTGAATCTGTATCACTGTGACCTGCAGCCTGTGCCTGTGACTCAGTTGGTGCCGAGCCCGTGAAGTGCAGGAGTGACGGGAGCTGCCTCTGCAAACCTGGCTTTGAGGGTCCCCGCTGTGAAGAGAGTGAGTGCCCAGCTTGCTATGGCCAGGTGAAAGTGCAGGTGAGCATCTGTGCCAGGCCCAGGGCCACTAATTTTCTCAGGGCAGTGATTTTCTCACCCTCAGTGTCTTCTCCTGTCTTCCTCAAGCATCTACTCCTGGTGCAAGTGAAATGTGAATTCAAACCTCAGCTTTGTACCTGATTCAACTGATCTTTGTGCCACATCTTACAATGAGCCTTCATTTTGGTCTCTGCTCTTGGTCCTGACTGTGGTCCTGGTTCCCACCCCTGCAGATTTAGTGTCCTGCTGGCTGATGGCCTGGTCTGTGGTTGCAGGTGGAGCTGTATCTGCAGCAGCTGGTGGAGCTGGAGCTGCTTTTGTCAGAGGTGCAAGCTGGCAGTGGGACCGAGAGTCAAGAGCTGGAGGGGAGGATGCTGGTGGCTGAGGAGATGCTGCAGACCATCCTTAGGGAAACCCTGAGCCTGCAAGGTACCACCTTCCCACTGCCCGTGGATGTGGCCAAGTGGGCTGTATCAGAGAGGGTTTTGCTGCCTGGGCCTTTTTCCATAGCAACGAGTTTCTCTTCAGCCTTTCTCTTTCCTTCTCGCCAGCCTCTGGCAGGTCTATGGAAGGACGTGTGGCCCAGATGAAGGGGCAAGGGTCCAGCTCCCAGAGTCGCTTGGATGAAATCAAGGCAGCTGTGGAGACACTGAGGTCTTTGGGGAACCTGTATGAGAGGCAGGTGCAGGAGACCCGTCAGCTGCTGGAGAGAGCCAGGCTGGACCTGGAACACAGTGGTGCTACTCTCCGTTGGGTGGTAAGAGCATCCCGTGTGACATGCTCCTAGTCTAGCTCAGGGCTGCAAAAAAAGTCAACAGACAAAGCAAGGATTTAAAGAATTACAGATGTTGTTTTGTGAATGAATGTAGGTGTTCTGATTGTCCTTTCTTTGGAGTCAGGACCTTGAGAGGAGCTGGTAGGGGTCTTTGGGGGTTGTGGAGGTTTAATATGCTGTAGTTGCCTCTTTCACTGCCAAACTGGATGGAGAGCAGGGAAGAGCACTCACACTTCTCTTTCTTCCTCCTTCCTCAGACCATTCCTGTTTCAAGCTTTCCTGGGGGTTTGAATCAGTTCTTGCTGCTGGCACAGGAGGCTCTGAGACTGGCCGACAGGTGAGGTGCTGCCACTGTTAGCCAAAAGAAAGGAGAGAAGAGGGAAGGGGAGGGGAGGGGAGGGGA